GACACAACAACCACCCACCAGGACACAACAACCACCACAACAACCACCCCCACCAGGACACAACAACCACCCACCAGGACACAACACAACAACCACCAGGACACCAGGACACAACAACCACCCACCAGGACACAACAACCACCCACCAGGACACAACAACCACCCACCAGGACACAACAACCACCCACCAGGACACAACAACCACCACCAGGACACAACAACCACCACACCAGGACACAACAACCACCCACCAGGACACAACAACCACCCACCAGGACACAACAACCACCCACCACACAACAACCACCCCACCAGGACACAACAACCACCCACCAGGACACAACAACCACCCACCAGGACACAACAACCACCACCAGGACACAACAGGACACAACAACCACCCACCAGGACACAACAACCACCCACCAGGACACACACAACCATCCACCAGGACACAACAACCACCCACCAGGACACAACAACCACCCACCAGGACACAACAACCACCCACCAGGACACAACAACCACCCACCAGGACACAACAACCACCAACAACACCAGGACACAACAACCACCCACCAGGACACAACAACCACCCACCAGGACACAACAACCAACCACAACAACCACCCACCAGGACACAACAACCACCCACCAGGACACAACAACCATCCACCAGGACACAACAACCATCCACCAGGACACAACAACCACCCACCAGGACACAACAACCACCCACCAGGACACAACAACCACCCACCAGGACACAACAACCACCCACCAGGACACAACAACCACCCACCAGGACACAACAACCACCCACCAGGACACAACAACCACCCACCAGGACACAACAACCATCCACCAGGACACAACAACCATCCACCAGGACACAACAACCACCCACCAGGACACAACAACCACCCACCAGGACACAACAACCACCCACCAGGACACAACAACCACCCACCAGGACACAACAACCACCCACCAGGACACAACAACCACCAGGACACAACAACCACCCACCAGGACACAACAACCACCCACCAGGACACAACAACCACCAGGACACCAGGACACAACAACCACCACCAGGACACAACAACCACCCACCAGGACACAACAACCACCCACCAGGACACAACAACCACCCACCAGGACACAACAACCACCCACCAGGACACAACAACCACCCACCAGGACACAACAACCACCCACCAGGACACAACAACCACCCACCAGGACACAACAACCACCAGGACACAACAACCACCCACCAGGACACAACAACCACCCACCAGGACACAACAACCACCCACCAGGACACAACAACCATCCACCAGGACACAACAACCACCAGGACAAAGCATCAACAAAATATGTGATGGGTCCCAGGTAAATCTCAACAGCCTGTCACCTGCCATTCATTCTTTTGGCGAAATCGCGAATTGAATCTGGACTTATACACGCAGGAGGAAGGCAGCTGAGTATTGGCTTCCTCCTCTGTGTCCTCACCCAGGAGGAAGGCAGCTGAGTATTGGCTTCCTCCTCTGTGTCCTCACCCAGGAGGAAGGCAGCTGAGTATTGGCTTCCTCCTCTGTGTCCTTACCCAGGAGGAAGGCAGCTGAGTATTGGCTTCCTCGCCTGTGTCCTCACCCAGGAGGAAGGCAGCTGAGTATTGGCTTCCTTGCCTGTGTCCTCACCCAGGAGGAAGGCAGCTGAGTATTGGCTTCCTCGCCTGTTTCCTCACCCATAAGGCGGATGGTTGTGGGGGAAGCCTTCACCCTTCAATTTCAAATTCATACTTACTCATTCCGTTCCTCTATGAGTTGTATTCGCACCAGTACGCATCTTGAAGCCTCTGAGAACAAATACTGAACACAAAACACTCAGAGTTGAGTGTTGAGGAAGGTCGCCTAACGACAATATTCTCACCATGGAACAATCCAGAACAAGATGGCGCCCGGACGTCATGGCAGACGTTGACGTGTACAAACGGAGTACAAGTAGACATCACCAATGGGAGAAGAGCTCTGTAGACACACAATATATATCCTAGATTCCTATTGGTCCATCTGGCTCCCACTACCTAGTTAATGAAAAATACCACTCATTGGTTTGCTGACTAATTAAACCTCCAAACTACTTCCTGTATGACAGTTCGACACTACGTTTCGAGGAGCGGTGGGACTTCAACCTATTGGTCTACACCTAGATTCACGAAGCTCCGCGTAATTCTTCACAAGTATGTGCGCTACGAAGGTTACTAAGTACCGGCTAAGAACGTGCCAAAGGGCTATTCAGAAAAGTATGCTTTCGAAAATTTATAAGAAGTTCACTTATATCTCGCTTGATGTCACTAGGGCTTTTAGTTTGGCCAATCAGAGAGAAGGTAACATTTTTCATCTTACAGCTGGAGCCAATCACGACGCTGGCATATCGGAGCTTATCCATGATGCACTTGACACATATTTACGTCGAATTTTCTTATAAAATTAGTATATTTCGAAGTAAAACAATGTTTTTTCAACTTGTACAGTCAGCACCGACATTGTAGTAAACAAATATGTTACATATTTAGTTTACCTTCGTAATTCTAAGAGATAGTGTATAGCTTTCCTTGTCGCTCCCAGGATTTGAGAAGCGATGGTATTTATTTACGTATATATTTACCTAAATTTACCCAAGGGCCACTAACTATCTAGTGGCCTCGACGAGGACAAAAAACCGGGGGCTTGTTAAGTCCCGCCAATTGTCCTAATGATATTTTCTAGCTGGATTTTGATAATTACGGATTCAGCGGGTAGGCTGTTCCATGGGTTTACAACCCTCTGGGTGAAAAACATCTGTTTTCAATCCTACTTGAGAGGACATACTCTGCAACACAATATTTGTGATTGCCCTGTTACCAGTTATTTCAGACCAAATGGTATTTGTTGATAGTAAATGCTCCCACCATAATCTCTCATATTGAGAAGGATCATCACCTTCTCTCATATTTTATGTTCACCAGTGTTTATTTACTTTATTACTACTGGTATAATATGTTGCTATTATAAAACTAATTCAAATATCATAAAATACATATTTACTACAAGTTTCCAGCAAAGAATGCACATATAGTTAACACGAAGGACTCCTCTGGACGAAACTCGCAAACTAAATTGTTTGTTTATACTAAAATCGATCCTCCGTGTTGTGTAGTAGAGAAAAATTGAGTTATATCCAGTTTACGTAAAGTTACGAGTGGTTGAGGGCGTCCTTTAATGGAGGTGGTGCACTTACGAGGATTTTCCTTCTTAACTGCTTACCTGAATACTGACGTTGCCGCTGCGAAGGTGCTAAGGACAAAAACATTCTTAAGTACGTACGTAACTGCTTCGTGAATCTGACCTCTGGACCTAGACTCATGGAGCTCCACATATTTTTTCGTAAGTATGTGTGCTACCAAGGTTCCCAAGTTCCGGTTAAGAACACGCCATAGAGCGATTCAGAAAGGTGTACGTAAGAAGATTTTTAAGTACAGTACAGTAGTTCACTTAGGTCTCGCTAGATGTCACTAAGGCCTTTAGTTTGGCCAATCAGAGAGATAACATTTTTCATCTTACAGCTGTAGCCAATCACGAGGTCGGCATATCGGAACTAATCCGTGATGTACTTGTCACTTACTTACATCGAATTTTCTTATAAAATTAGTATATTTCGAAGTAAAACTATGTTTTTTCAACTTGTACAGTCAGTACCGACATTGTAGTAAACAAATATGTTACATTTTTTGTTTACTTATGTAATTCTAAGAGATAGTGTATAGCTTTCCTTGTCGCTCCCAAGATTTGAGAAGCGATGGTGTTTATTTACTTACGTATATATTTACCTAAATTTACCCAAGGGCCACTAACTATCTAGTGACCTCGACGAGGACAAAAAGCTGGGGGCTTGTTAAGCCCCGCCAATTGTCCTAATGATATTTTCTAGCTGAATTTTGGCATTTACGGCTTCATCGGGTAGGCGGTTCTATGGGTTTATAACCCCCTGGGTGAAAAAACATCTGTTTTCAGTCCTACTTGAGAGGACATTCCAACACTATATCTGTGATTGCCCTGTTATCAGTGATTTCAGACCAAATAGTGTGAGGTATCTTGAGCTCTGTAATTACTTCATACACTCAGGAATATTAGAAGATATTCTTGTGCTGTACCCAGATTTTGCTAGTGGAGGCTAATAGATCAGCCTTATATTTCTTATTCTCTCCTGATTCCATGTATGACTTGCCGTCCTGTGAGGTGGGGGTGTTGGATGAGCTTGTAGCTGGTTTATCATCTTATGATTTATAATCTGTAATCTTTCATATAGAATAGGGAAGCAGCACATTGCTGGGTATTCCTAAGCTTGTTAATAAAAAGAAATAAGGAATAAAGGTTTTAAATTATAGGTTGTATTACTATTATTATCAGTATTATCCTCATTAAATCATAAATGTTAACCATGGATCATTAAGATCTCATATTGATATGTAATGTTAGTAATGTTTACCAAACAACACACTAGAAGATAAAAAAAAACACTGTTATTAATATTTTTTGTGAATCATTAAATTGTGCAATATGTCTCAATTTTTCACTTCTTTGGATTTACATTAGAAAAAATAGGATAAACAACCCATAAATGTTTGTTTCATTATATTTTTCATTTAAATAACTGGATCAATATTTTAACAGTTGACAGGATTTGTTTTACTCACAGGTGCATTATCTGTTAAAAAATTTGGTTTATTGTTACACACAATGTTGCTACACAGCCTTCCCGGCTTGGTGCCTTCTTCTGATAATTATTGTTACACAGCCAAATTGTGCAACAGGAAGAGGTCTTGGACACAAATTTGTTCCATGCTAAATGTAGAGGAATCAGCTGAGCATTCCTCAAATAAAATAAGCTGCCTCAGCTTATACTTTAAATAAAATAAAATAAGCATTCCCCAAATAAGTAGCAGTCTCACCTCACTGCCATACTGCTACTGGCGTCTTGTCTTCAGACACTGGCGTCTTGTCTTCAGACACTGGCGTCTTGTCTTCAGACACTGGCGTCTTGTCTTCAGACACTGGCGTCTTGTCTTCAGACACTGGCGTCTTGTCTTCAGTCACTGACGTCTTGTCTTCAGACACTGGCGTCTTGTCTTCAGTCACTGACGTCTTGTCTTCAGACACTGGCGTCTTGTCTTCAGTCACTGACGTCTTGTCTTCAGTCACTGACGTCTTGTCTTCAGTCACTGACGTCTTGTCTTCAGACACTGACGTCTTGTCTTCAGTCACTGGCGTCTTGTCTTCAGTCACTGGCGTCTTGTCTTCAGTCACTGGCGTCTTGTCTTCAGTCACAGACGTCTTGTCTTCAGACACTGGCGTCTTGTCTTCAGTCACTGGCGTCTTGTCTTCAGACACTAGAGTCTTGTCTTCAGTCACTGACGTCTTGTCTTCAGACACTAGAGTCTTGTCTTCAGTCACTGACGTCTTGTCTTCATTCACTGACGTCTTGTCTTCAGACACTGAGGTCTTGTCTTCAGACACTGACGTCTTGTCTTCAGACACTGACGTCTTGTCTTCAGACACTGACGTCTTGTCTTCAGTCACTGACGTCTTGTCTTCAGTCACTGACGTCTTGTCTTCAGTCACTGACGTCTTGTCTTCAGTCACTGACGTCTTGTCTTCAGACACTGACGTCTTGTCTTCAGTCACTGACGTCTTGTCTTCAGACACTGACGTCTTGTCTTCAGACACTGACGTCTTGTCTTCAGACACTGACGTCTTGTCTTCAGTCACTGACGTCTTGTCTTCAGACACTGACGTCTTGTCTTCAGACACTGACGTCTTGTCTTCAGACACTGACGTCTTGTCTTCAGTCACTGACGTCTTGTCTTCAGACACTGACGTCTTGTCTTCAGTCACTGACGTCTTGTCTTCAGTCACTGACGTCTTGTCTTCAGACACTGACGTCTTGTCTTCAGTCACTGACGTCTTGTCTTCAGACACTGACGTCTTGTTTTCAGTCACTGACGTCTTGTCTTCAGACACTGACGTCTTGTCTTCAGACACTGACGTCTTGTCCTCAGACACTGACGTCTTGTCTTCAGTCACTGACGTCTTGTCTTCAGTCACTGACGTCTTGTCTTCAGACACTGACGTCTTGTCTTCAGACACTGACGTCTTGTCTTCAGACACTGACGTCTTGTCTTCAGACACTGACGTCTTGTCTTCAGACACTGACGTCTTGTCTTCAGTCACTGACGTCTTGTCTTCAGACACTGACGTCTTGTCTTCAGTCACTGACGTCTTGTCTTCAGTCACTGACGTCTTGTCTTCAGACACTAGAGTCTTGTCTTCAGTCACTGACGTCTTGTCTTCAGTCACTGACGTCTTGTCTTCAGACACTAGAGTCTTGTCTTCAGTCACTGACGTCTTGTCTTCAGTCACTGACGTCTTGTCTTCAGTCACTGACGTCTTGTCTTCAGACACTAGAGTCTTGTCTTCAGTCACTGACGTCTTGTCTTCAGACACTGACGTCTTGTCTTCAGACACTGACGTCTTGTCTTCAGACACTGACGTCTTGTCTTCAGACACTGGCGTCTTGTCTTCAGTCACTGACGTCTTGTCTTCAGTCACTGACGTCTTGTCTTCAGTCACTGGCGTCTTGTCTTCAATTACTGACGTCTTGTCTTCAGTCACTGGCGTCTTGTCTTCAGTCACTGACGTCTTGTCTTCAGTCACTGACGTCTTGTCTTCAGACACTGGCGTCTTGTCTTCAGTCACTGACGTCTTGTCTTCAGACACTGGCGTCTTGTCTTCAGACACTGGCGTCTTGTCTTCAGACACTGGCGTCTTGTCTTCAGACACTAGCATCATTTTTTATCAGTTGGGTTCGCTCCAGACTCTCACTCGCGAGTCTTGGGAGAGGAGTTCAATCGGGGACAGAAAGAGAAGGATACGTTTCATGTCACCTAATGCATCTGTTCACCTAGCAGTAAATAGGGACCTGGCAGTTAGTCAACTGTTTTGGGGCGGCATCCTTAAGGAAGGGATGCACTTCGGCTTCGATGGAAAAAAGCCTAATGTTTATATATATACAGGCTACCTGTCTCTGACACAATAAAATATTATATATCCTTTTCATTTTTTTTAAAAGAAAAAGGGTACAACCTCTGGTGCAATTGTAGGGACCCATAGCCTCGGAGAAGGAAATAAAGAGTACTCAGAGAAGACCTTGCGGATCCTCACTGAACACCTTGATATTTTCTTCTCCTACCACCCCTATTCGTTTAGTATGTGTGTATATATATATATATATATATATATATATATATATATATATATATATATATATATATATATATATATATATATATATATATATATATATATATATACTGAAAACTCACACCCCAGAAGTGACTCGAACCCATACTCCCAGAAGCAACGCAACTGGTATGTACAAGACGCCTTAATCCACATGACCATCACAACCAGACAAAATGAGGTGATAGCCGAGGCTATTTGAACCACCCCACCGCCGGCACTCGGATAGTAATCTTGGGCATAGCATTTTACCAAATCACCTCATTCTTTGGGGCACACGTGAGGAACACAAATGCGAACAAGCCTGAATGGTCCCCAGGACAATATTCAACTGAAAACTCACACCCCAGAAGTGACTCGAACCCATACTCCCAGAAGCAACGCAACTGGTATGTACAAGACGCCTTAATCCACTTGACCATCACGACCGGACAAAATGAGGTGATAGCCTGTATCACTGTATGATGATAAAATGAGGTAAAATGCTATGCCCAAGATTACTATCCGAGTGCCGGCGGTGGGGTGGTTCAAATAGCCTCGGCTATCACCTCATTTTGTCCGGTCGTGATGGTCAAGTGGATTAAGGCGTCTTGTACATACCAGTTGCGTTGCTTCTGGGAGTATGGGTTCGAGTCACTTCTGGGGTGTGAGTTTTCAGTTGCATATTGTCCTGGGGACCATTCAGGCTTGTTCGCATTTGTGTTCCTCACGTGTGCCCCAAAGAATGAGGTGATTTGGTAAAATGCTATGCTCAAGATTACTATCCGAGTGCCGGCGGTGGGGTGGTTCAAATAGCCTCGGCTATCACCTCATTTTGTCCGGTCGTGATGGTCAAGTGGATTAAGGCGTCTTGTACATACCAGTTGCGTTGCTTCTGGGAGTATGGGTTCGAGTCACTTCTGGGGTGTGAGTTTTCAGTTGCATATTGTCCTGGGGACCATTCAGGCTTGTTCGCATATATATATATATATATATATATATATATATATATATATATATATATATATATATATATATATATATATATATATATATAACTTTATTTAAAATTTCATTACACAAAAAGGGTTACAACATTGGTTACATGCAGAGTACAAGGCTGCTTGTCACAAGTTGTACAGCTCCTCCAGCTCCTCAGATGGCGGGCAGGAACCATGGATGCAGTGAGCATTTCCTCTCTGGATCGCCACACTAAGGCGCTGAAAGAGGAAACTCGCGGCACTAGGGTCTCTTGTTGTTTCAATTAGCTTGGACCCCACCTCCTTCAAAAAACTAGCAGCACTTTTACCCCAGGCACCAAGTGTCTCTGAGGCAATGGGGACAAAATTGTAGTGGTGGTAAAGATCTCTGTATTTACGCTACTTGGCTGCTTCCCAGTGGTTGGCCAACTGTCGGCCATTATGTAATAGGTTATTGTGCTACTGATATTGCACCACAGCAAGGTCAGGACTACTAGGGAACCATCAAGCGCCAAGCCATTACGACTATATAGCACCTGGAAGAGGTCAAGATAAGGATTTGGGATGGGACGGGGGGAAGGAATGGCGCCCAACCACTTGGACGTCGGGGACTGAACGCCGACCTGCATGAACCGAGACCGTCGCTCTACCCTCCATCCCAAGTGGTTGGACAAGGTCATAGCTCAATATTTTTCTCGTACATGGTAGATCACTCAACAAAACACTCACGAATCTTCTTAGTTCTTTGTCTGTAGTGCAACTTTTTTGTTCTCCGTGAACACATCACTCGAACACCTCATTGCAACACATAACTGGACCACACCACTGGACCACACCACTGGACCACACCACTGGACCACACCACTGGACCACACCACTGGACCACACCACTGGACCACACCACTGGACCACACCACTGGACCACAACACTGGACCACACCACTGGACCACACCACTGGACCACACCACTGGACCACACCACTGGACCACACCACTGGACCACACCACTGGACCACACCACTGGACCACAATACTGGACCACACCACTGGACCACACCACTGGACCACACCACTGGACCACACCACTGGACCACACCACTGGACCACATCACTGGACCAAACCACTGGACCAAACCACTGGACCACACCACTGGACCACAACACTGGACCACACCACTGGACCACAACACTGGACCACAACACTGGACCACACCACTGGACCACACCACTGGACCACAACACTGGACCACAACACTAGACCACAACACTAGACCACACCACTGGACCACAACACTGGACCACAACACTGGACCACACCAATGGACCACAACACTGGACCACAACACTGGACCACACCACTGGACCACAACACTGGACCACACCATTGGACCACAACACTAGACCACACCACTGGACCACACCACTGGACCACACCACTGGACCACACCACTGGACCACACCACTGGACCACACCACTGGACCACACCACTGGACCACAACACTGGACCACACCACTGGACCACAACACTGGATCACAACACTGGACCATACCACTGGACCACACCACTGAACCACACCACTGGACCACACCACTGGACCACACCACTGGACCACACCACTGGACCACACCACTGGACCACATCACTGGACCAAACCACTGGACCAAACCACTGGACCAAACCATTGGACCACACCACTGAACCACACCACTGGACCACACCACTGGACCACACCACTGGACCACACCACTGGACCTCACCACTGGACCACACCACTGGACCACAACACTGGACCACACCACTGGACCACACCACTGGACCAAAACAGTGGACCACAACACTGGACCACACCACTGGACCACACCACTGGACCACACCACTGGACCACAACACTAGACCACACCACTGGACCACAACACTGGACCACACCACTGGACCACACCACTGGACCACACCACTGGACCACACCACTGGACCACACCACTGGACCACACCACTGGACCACACCACTGGACCACAACACTGGACCACATCTAAGGACCACACCACTGGACCACACCATTGGACCACAACACTGGACCACACCACTGGACCACACCACTGGACCACACCACTGGACCACACCACTGGACCACACTACTGGACCACACCACTGGACCACAACACTGGACCACACCACTGGACCACACCACTGGACCACACCACTGGACCACAACACTGGACCACACCACTGGACCACAACACTGGACCACAACACTGGACCACAACACTGGACCACACCACTGGACCACACCACTGGACCACACCACTGGACCACACCACTGACTTTTATAGGAAACAATAGCTGTTGATTATGTGCTGGCTCAACCCCCGGGTCGTCCAGGCCTGATAATGGTAGAGGGGAGCGAGCAGGAACCACACAACACCTGCAGCAGGAACCACACAACACCTGCAGCAGGAACCACACAACACCTGCAGGAGGAACCACACAACACCTGCAGCAGGAACCACACAACACCTGCAGGAGGGAACACACAATACCTGCAGGAGGGACCACACAACACCTGCAGCAGGAACCACACAACACCTGCAGGAGGGACCACACAATACCTGCAGGAGGGACCACACAACACCTGCAGCAGGAACCACACAACACCTGCAGGAGGAAACACACAATACCTGCAGGAGGGACCTCACAACACCTGCAGGAGGAACCACACAATACCTGCAGGAGGAACCACACAACACCTGCAGGAGGGACCACACAACACCTGCAGGAGGGACCACACAATACCTGCAGGAAGAACCACACAATACCTGCAGGAAGAACCACACAATACCTGCAGGAGGGACCACACAATACCTGCAGGAGGGACCACACAATACCTGCAGGAGGGACCACACAACACCTGCAGGAGGGACCACACAATACCTGCAGGAGGGACCACACAACACCTGCAGGAGGGACCACACAACACCTGCAGGAGGGACCACACAATACCTGCAGGAGGGACCACACAACACCTGCAGGAGGGACCACACAACACCTGCAGGAGGGACCACACAATACCTGCAGGAGGGACCACACAACACCTGCAGGAGGGACAACACAACACCTGCAGGAGGGACCACACAATACCTGCAGGAGGGACCACACAACACCTGCAGGAGGGACCACACAACACCTGCAGGAGGGACCACACAATACCTGCAGGAGGGACCACACAACACCTGCAGGAGGGAACACACAATACCTGCAGGAGGGACCACACAACACCTGCAGGAGGGACCACACAACACCTGCAGCAGGAACCACACAATACCTGCAGGAGGAACCACACAATACCTGCAGGAGGGAACACACAATACCTGCAGGAGGGACCACACAATACCTGCAGGAGGGAACACACAATACCTGCAGGAGGGACCACACAACACCTGCAGCAGGAACCACACAATACCTGCAGGAGGAACCACACAATACCTGCAGGAGGGAACACACAATACCTGCAGGAGGCACCACACAATACCTGCAGGAGGAACCACACAATACCTGCAGGAGGAACCACACAATACCTGCAGGAGGGAACAC